GGTTTGGTAAAGTAGTTAGTTGGTGGCAACCAGGCAGCAGAGCAAAGGAACAGCTTCAGGGAATGGTCTGTGCAAGTCCATATGTAGTATTCAAAGACACACCCCTCTAATCACCCAGACGTGTCAAAGAGCCTGCTTTACTACCCTGGTAGGTGATTTTTAATCCAGTTAATTTGACATATGAGGATTGAAAGTAACAATATACTTCTTATAAATTTCAAGTGCAAACACATCTTAAACTATACTTAATCTCCAAATAATGAGGGTAGCAAATTCACAATTCTAGCTAACAAAACACAAATATCCTCCAGACAACTGAAAATGCAATAATCCCTTCTTCAAAGTCCAAACAGTCCCAAGTTTTAAAATAAGTCCAAGTATTTTCCTAAATTGAAGACAAACTCTGAGCTATGAACATCTGAAAAAATTAAAAAAAAATAAGAGAAGTCACATAATTCCAAAATAGAATGGCACAGGGTAAACTTTCATTCTCCAAAAATGAGGACTAGAGGGCTAGAAAAATATTGGACCAAAGCAAGACTGAAAACCAGTAGGGAAACATTAATTCCTAAAGTCTGTGTCTGGCATCCAGGGACATCTCCAGAGAGATGTCAGTTCCAGAGGATTTGAAGATGGTTCACATTCATGTCCTCTTGGACTTCCTGGGATCTCCAACACACCTTCAATTTCATTTTCACAGCTTCATACACTGTATTCATGGGGACTCCTTTTCTGGACTCTCAGACCTTTCTTGAAATATGGGTTAAATTCTTCCTGATCTCATAACTCATGTATTCTGCATGCCAGTAAAACCAGCATCATGTGGATGACAACAAAACTGGTTGCCAGCGTGAGCTATGGTTAGTTCTCCTTGGCTCATCGACTCTGTGGCCTCTGAATGCCTGTATAGGTGAGCACAATGACATGAAAACTGAGGAAGCAATTCCCCAGGAGGTCCTTTTTGATAAGTCATCCAGGGACTTTTCAAATGAAAAGCTTACACTTTTGCATTCTTGAACCTGGAATGGCTATATCTTTCTGATTCTTGAGATGTCTTCAAGTCATCTTTCCTTTTTTCTCTGTAAAAAGCACACAGTATTTTGTAACGGTGTGAATATCTTTGTAGGCTACACTTCCATTGGCCCCAGTTTTATGTGTAATTTCTTATGGGAAAAAATTTAATTTTTTCAAAATTTTCTTCTTTGTCTTTGCACTTGATTTGTATTACAAATCTGGCTAAAATCTACCAACATTATTAGATCACAACCTGAATGTTGAAATGTCTTGAAATTTTACCTCATAGGTTAATTACTCCACTGCCTTTAATCTTAGCCCCTATGAAAAAGACTAGAGATATAGAAAAATGTGGACAGATTTTCTACTAGAGTCTCAGACATATAGCTTCTGTCCCTCATGCAGTGGCATCCTTGTTCCCAACTGAAACTTCCTGATCCTGGCTTTGCTGTCTGCATTACTATTAACATTCTACTCTTAGTTTTGATCTTTTTCTATAAAACATGCAAACTGTAATAAGTCAGTCTACTGGTTTCTAAATGACATAGTTAGATGCTGTCATGAGAATGACTCCATTTATCAGGTTCTAGCTTTTTTGCATTATCTTTTAAAAAATTAATTAATTAATTTAGTACAGGGTCTCACTACAAAGATTGGACTCAGAGTGATCCTCCTGTCTCTGCCTCTCTAGCACTGGGATTACAGGCATGTACCACCAGAATGGTTTCAGTGGCTGGCTGGGCACACGACCCACATGGCATGTGGTACTCGGGATTGAAACTGGGTTCTTGGGCTTTACAGAAAGGTACTTAGACTGCTGAGCTATCTCCCTGGCCCTATATTTTTTTTGTCAGTAGACACAAATCCTGATAAAATTTAAAGGAGAAGAGGCTTAAGTTAGCTTATAGTTTCTGGGAGTTTAGTTCATAGTTGGCTGGTTGCAAGGAATAGACAACCTGATGGAGGGTACGAAGAGGAGGAAAACTGTACCAGAAAGAAGTGGGGCAAAGACCATATACAGTATGCCTCTATGACCCACTTAGACATACTTTGAAGCAATTTTACTGGTCTCTTAGATATATCTTAAGCTGCTGAGTTGAAATATCAGGAATAAAGATCATAGTAAGGAAATATTTGTGACAACTTAATTCCATTAAATGAAACTATTTAAGTCCTATCTTTCACTCGTCCTTTTTTCTCTCTTCTTCCCTCTTTCCCTTCCTTGTTTTTTTTTTTATTTCAGGGAAGGGGCTACAGGTTGTTCAAGATTTCACTCCTAGTTTGAACTCATAGTGATCCACTTGTTTGCAGCCTCTCAAGAGCTGGGATCACAGGCTTGTGCCACCATGCCAAGCTTCAATTTAGTCTCAGTGTACCCTGGGGATGGGGTCAGTAGGGCAGGCGTGGAGATCGAACCCTTGGCCCCTATGCCTGCTTGCAGGTGCTTTAATTCGCTGAGCTATTTGGCCTGCACTCCTTGTGGTGTTCTTTGAGACAGATCTTGTTGTCTAGTTCCAGGACAGCCTTGCATTCACTCTGTAGTCCATGCTAGCCTGGGACTCTCTGTGATCCCCTGATGCTTCTGCCTGTATCAGTGCTGGTATTATATGCATGCACTACCATGGTTGGCTCAGAAATGGTTGTATCTTGAAACACATAAATAAGCAGGGCTCACTCAGGCAGAAATGTACATTAACAAATATGCATAGATAAGATATCACTAGGTAGAAATTTGTCAAACTTTCATCTTGCATGGCCTCAGTGACAAATACTACTATGCAACTAAAGAGGAAATAACATTAAATTTACAACAGCCAATTTGTTTTGAAGGCTGTTTCCCCAACACTAAAACTGCAAGCAAACATTACCAGAGATGAAAATTAGCATGAAATATTCCTCATGAGTATAAATGGAAAAATTATTCAAAACTATTAATACATGAGGCAAACAATACATAAAATATGTATTATTATCAGATTAGGTTCAGCCTAGTGATTCATACTTAGTTTACTATTGGAAATTTAGTATTGCAACTCACTGTATTACCAGAATAACAAAGAAACTTTTTGTTAATCTTAGATCTAATGAAGCATATAAAAAAATCCCGAAGCATATTTTTAATCAAAAGTCTCAGTAGAAGGGCCGGTGATATAACTCAATGGACTAAGCGCTTGTGTAGGTAAGCACAGGGGCCAGAGTTTGATCCCTGGCAACACATGCATGATGGCTCTGTCCCCGGGTGCACTGAGCTGGTGATGGAGTCCAGGCACGGTGACGTACACTTGTAATCTGAGCACTAGGTAGGCATAAATCAGGAGGATCACTACGAATCTGAGCTGTGTAGTGAGAGCCTGAAAAAAAGTCTCGGTAGAATATGAATAGAAGGAATCTTCTTTAAGATGATCAATAGCACAACACAAAACCACAACATTTGGAAGGAAATGTTATGGTTGGGGCAGAGGTTGGAAAAGCCTGTGGAATAAAGGTAGCCTTTTCCTGACACTGAAAGTGAAAAGA